ACATTAAGTTTGATCATTCGTAGCATCGGTGACGTCAGTAATGGTAACATTCGATGATGTTTGCGATGGAATAACAGTAATAATAGGTCGATGATAACTAAAATATGTAACAAAAATGTTAGACATAACATTGTCAATGTATCTAATGAAAACTGCATCGATTGTAGTTCCATATCTAGTTGTCGATTCTTGTGGATTGTTATTTATATTTAACTGAAATTCTTCTTGCAAAAAAGTAATCAATGGCATTGATTCATCTTTAGCAAAATTTACATTAAAATCTCCTGCCAATATCAATGGTAGTTCGTGTAATTTTTTGTTTAATATCATTGAACCCCGATAACTGTATGGAAGTAATGTCTCGTGTAAAAATGAAATGATATCCTGTATTTTTTGGTTAGGTGAAATATACACAACGACCATGAATAATTCTCTTCCATCATCCATAATAATTTTAGAAGCACACAAAGCACACTAAGTAGCTAGGAGTGGGGAAAGAGCCCGCTTGGGTCTGGCGCTGCTGCGTGGCGACGCGGTTCTTGCGTGGAGACGCGGCTCATGCGTGGCGACGCAGCTCTGGTGGGGTGATTCTAGCTAGGAGTGGGGGGAGAGCCCGCTTACGAGCCTGGCGACGGCTCGCGTGGCGACGCGTTGCCACGCAAGGCTCGCTTTTACTTACCCCCCAAGCGCCGCATTAGATGTTTCACATCAAAAATGTGCGCCTGGTTCGGCCACTGGGCCGCGGCGGGGCGCTCGAACCACTGGAAAAAAAGTGGGCACACTCCGTAGCATGGCAGTCAGCAATCTCCCTACTAATCTCTGATAGCAACTGCCTCTTTTCGGTAGAAGCGCGCCGTTTCTCGCTTCTCCTTTCTCCTACCGCTCTCTCTGTCTCTCTCTCCTACTTCCCTCGCATCACAACTCACTCCCCACCCTTTTCTTTAACCTACTAGCCAACGCTGATCACAGCATGATAATATTTTTTTCACTTTTTACAGCTTTTCACTTGACCAAATAAACTGTATACATTCCGAACAAATATGTTTTTAATAAAAAGATTTTTATGTACAATTTTTAGTTGAAAACGTTTCACATTACATGTCAACACACTACGGTGTTCCATTTAGTGAGTCTCGGGCGAAGCCGAGACGGGGGGCCACTAGTTGTGTATATTGCAGATTGTATGTGTGTTAAAAAAATAGAGCAGTAATTACTCATACAAAATGTTGAATACAAAGTATTACTAAAGTTTGATTGTTATATATAAAAAAGAATTCGTAAGTGTAGAATTTTGAAACGAGGAACAATCAATGAAGTGGGACCATTTAATAACAAGTGTGATTTGCAAATAAATAATGCTCGTAAATGTGATCGCGAGTTAGACTTATATGCATCTCCTGCATAAATTATTAAATGTTATTTTTAAATCTCCTTTTATTTTTCGAACCCTGTCCTTTATTCGTTGATTGAGATGCCAATGTTGGCCCTATATAATCCCCCATTATACTGTGCCATCTCCTTCTATGTATTTACCCTGGTTGGACCTACATAGGTAACTGGGTAACCAATATAGGCCCAACATGGAGCCCTCTTAAGCTTTCTGATCGTGCAGCAGTGGCCAGTGACAGCTCTAAGTGCTCCTTATAAATGATTCCTTTAGCATCAGATAATGATTTTGAACGCGTGAGTGGTTACTTAACTAAAATCAGTGATTGACGCAAAAAATGCTCGATTCACTTGGTGAGCCAGTTTGTTGCTTTAATGACCAGGTGCCTTTGGTCGTTACAAGTAAATCCAATAATAATATTAGTCAACTGTTGTGGTAAAGCAGAGGTGAGACTATGAAAAGATGGTCAGTATCTCCCGACGTATTCTTCAGGCTCTTATTGCTTATCGCCTACGACAATATCAGGCTGCAGCCCTATATGTTCAACACTTCCGTCTGGGTCGGCAGGCCTCGAGAAAAGTAGCGCCACTATTGGACTCGTGCATACACCGCGCTGCCCTCATTTCATACCCCCAACCCATGTTGAACCTCATGGAAGCAAATTGTACCCGTGGCAGCTACCGGTGACACCATACCCCGTTTCTATAAAACTCTGTGTTAAAGTGACAGCTAGCGCCGCCCCCCCCCCCCTCAACCTCATGCGCAGAGCCAATACTTACTCTTATCGCAAGCAGTAACCCTCTCTCTTCTCTAATTTGGCAGCAAATCTGTTACCCCCAATACAACTTGGACACACTCGCTCACAATTGGATTTTATACATATCGTGCCGATATTTGAATTTTGATGGTTTTACTATGGATAAGAAATTTTTATTATGATTAATATTACTGCTAATTCACATAAAAGTACATCCAGGGGTACGTATGTGCATATACATCGGTACATATCTCATGTCACAAGGTTTTTGGTGACTTACTTGGTTATTTTCTTCTTGATATGACTTACTAATGGCAGTGAATCTGGAGGATCATCTTGGGTTATTAAATACCTGGGCCTTATGTGCTTGATATAATAAAAATATTCTTGCAATTTGCCTAGTCCTTTAAATATTTAAGGATTACTATACTAATTTTGATTGATGTTGAGATTATGAAGCAATGATCCAAGCAAATACATGTTTATGCAGTTTATTTTCTTCTATTACCCCCTTTTGTCTACAACATCACTACAGTTGTGATTTTAGAACTAAATTTTTTTTTTTAACTTTAGTTTTAAGAGCCTTAAGCTTACACGTCTATAAACACATGAAAGGAGCCTTTCACCTACTCTCTTCTAAGACGCCGACCTCCATGCTTGCCCATTTGTTGTTTCCTTTCATACATGTGCTTTTTTTATTATTGAAGTTAACATAAGTCTTACTGAATGACAAGACTCTATAAAAAAACGTAGACACCACGAGCTGCTAACTAGACAAGATGCTTTCTTAAAATTACAGTCTAAAAAATTATCAAATAAAGAAAAAAAACTGAAGTTGAATGAATTACAGTACAAAGCAAAGTAAAAAGTTAGTGTGAAATTTTAGGTAGATACAGAAAAGATTTGTTTGATTAAGATGTTCCGAGTAAGTCAAAGTGTCTTTCTCATTTTATTAAGGTGTTCGTAGCATTCGAAGGTACTTAAGAGTAATTAAGGTATTTTTGTACATTAATGTACGGCAAGTATAACAAATACGAACATACATTTCTGAATAGATTATTCGAATGAATCTGAAAAAATTGTAAGTAACAAAAAAAAAAAAAAGTCTGGTCTATGACTTCAAATTGAAAATCAATTTTTTTAATTCATTAATATTTTTAGTGTCAAAACTAAAATGGTAAAAACAAAGCTTGTTGCTACAAAATAACAAAATATTTATTATTACAAATCAATAGTCTTAAAGTTTGATTGTGAAAAAAATGTGTTTGTTAGTGTTCCTTTTTTATTACAATGTGAATTATAATACTTATTTAGCTATTTTATTCTTTACTGCCGTTTCAAAAACGTTAGTGATACTTTTTTGTTTTTGTTTTGTATAGCATTGCTAAAAGTACTATTAAGCTACGTGTAACAATATTCGTATGTCCTTCAAGATCTCATTTATCCGTGATTTTTTAAATAAAACATTTCATATTTCGTATTTACTTCTTTTACTACAAACATTCTTTAACATTTCTTACGGTATAAAGAAAAAGTTGAATATTAATACATATCAGATTAATTTTTCAGTGAGCATTCATCTTCAAGCAATTCCATCAGCACAAAAATCTTCAGGCTCTGAATAATCTGATGATTGCTCAAGGAGTTGATCATTTTGATACTCCTTGCAAACTTACCGCATTTTTGTTATCTGTCGAGAATACTTTTCTTCAATGCCATGTTATGTAAAATGACAAATGCTCGAATAACTTTAAGCCTTATCATTTCAGGCTTCAGCCTAACATGATAAAGAAGTTGAAATCTGCGAGATGTAGTTCTTATATGCATGTCTATCTACGTATTCTTATACTCACATGATAATGATATTGCACGAAATTACTGTAGGGCTTACCTTTGTTTAAGCAATCCAATGGTGTGCTCAATTTCAACTCTAGCTTTTGATAGAGCCTTGTTAAATCATTGCTCACATCATTTCATATCACCATTATCTTTGTGAGGCAGGTCTGAGCGACAAGGATGGGTAGCATCCTCGAATAAATAACCTCCTGTCAAGTAAAATAGTACTTGTATGAGGTAATTATCAGTCTTAAGTTACTCCATAATTTCTGCCATACTTTTTCTTTCTTTAACAATTTTCCTGTAAAGAGGGAATTTTTTAAAAACCTTTGAGTGGTGGACACTTTCCAGATATCCGAGCATAAAATCTCAATTCCTAAGATCTTGGTTACATACGAACTGTCCTTGAACGAGAAAGTAGTTTTCGGTTGTAGTAGCTTTGTTGGCTCACCGATGGTCTTTCTATTTTAAAGTTTGTTTCATAAATAATGTCCAAAATGTTTGGTAAACCGCATTTGTCTTTGTAATGCCTCTTACATAGAGACATTTCACTTTCTGTGGGCCACTTAATATATCACGAATCATTACTTTCAAGAAAATCAGAAACTTGGGTGACAATTGAATGGTGAGCACTAAAGGATAGGCCAAACCTTTCTGATAGTACTCTGTAGCTTTATGCTTGGAGGTCCACAAACTACAAAAAAACATATACTTGTTTATAGGGAAACATTTCTGGTTTTTCTGTAAAATGCTATTAGACAATGAGATAAATAAATATTTCAGTAAACTAATCACTTACCTTTAACAAAACCTTTTTAATAGTCAGATTATGAATATTTCTAAATTAAAAAGTTGACAAAGTCTTTGTACAAGCGAAAATGACGAATAAACTCTTTATTACTATACTCTTGTACTATTTTTTCACAAAATTTCTGTATACAAACTCTCTTTTTCAGTACAATTCCTTTATCTTCATCTTCACTGCCAAACTTTTAATGAGAAAAACCAAAAAAATAAAAAATGGCTCATTCTTCCAAAGAGTTATCTGAGCCACTTGATGAAAGTGATTTTGATGACCTCGGTAAAGAAAAGGTTTGTGATGATAATTATCATAATCGCATTGTTTTTCTTCGGTGATTCGTAAAACAAGAATCATCCTTTGAAAAGTTTGACAATATACAATAAGTTTTATATTTTTATATGAACTTTATATTTCGTAACATTAATATAATACTAACATTCTTTGGTGTCATAGTGATAGTAGAGCAACATAAAACCTTCCAACTGTACAATAGTGCAATCAAAGCAAAGTGATAGTTTGTTTACTCATGATAATAGGCTCAGCTGGATCTTCTACGGCTATACACAGGTAGCCAGAGTCATGTGCACTTGGAGAGCTCGGGGCGCTCGGAGCAAGAACGCGTGTTCGGGTTCAAGTTTGAAGTACTTCGAGCGCTCTGAGCGCTTCAAACCTGTTAATAGAACAAATCTACTAACCAACTCGAATACATAGCCCGTTATGGACAATAATTAATCTTTCATAAGCGTCTATTTCAACAATAATGTATCTTTAACAACTAAAATAAGTTTTTCCAATTCCAAGTAGCGTATTGATAGTAAAAAAAGATTTTTTTATAATTTAATTTTAAAAAATTAAATTTTTTATATGAAATAAATGTAATGTATGAATGAGTACAATAAACATTACTTTTCCAACCTCATGCGTTTTTGAGGGTCGGGTATGCCTTCGGTAGGAAAAATAGGATTCGCCACATAAGTGCCATCGCTCTGAGGCTACCTTAGGTCCCTCGGGCCACAAAAAATAGCCCCGGAGACGACGGCACTTATACGCCGAAAACTACTATTTTAATGTGCTGACTTAAAAGTACTCCACGAAATAAATTGATATTAGAGGAAAACCGCAATACACACTCACGAAATACAAGTGTGTGAGGAGAAAACAAATTTTTTATCAATACACTGGTAAATAGGTTTAGTTTTTGGCTCAGAAATATACTTAACATCAAAAGAAATTTCATAAGTGGTGTAAGATATATCGTTGTTGAAATAATCGCTTGTAGCAGATCATTGTCCATAAAAGGCCATGTATTCCTGTTGTAGTTAGTATCGACATATTTTCTCTTGAGGGTGACGCTATTTCAAATTGCTGCACGATGCGGAGAAAGAGAAGGAGGATTTGCATGAATGAATCGGCAGTTGTTTCAAAGTATTAGTAAATATTTAATATTAGTTTTTTTAATAAATTACTGTCGTTTTGGTCCTTACTTTTGATATTTAAGAAAGCTTGTTGCTTTTTAATAAAAGATTATTTTTGTACTTCTTAGTACTCTACTTAAGGGGGTAGTATTACAATATATAGTCAATGCGTGTTCTGAAATACATTATGTGTTCCAAAATAGACAAGTGAAAGTAAATGTAGCAATGCCGCATGAGGCGAAAACCCTCTGTGTATCTATACGTACAAGTATACATACATTTGAGGTTATATTGTACATCAACATTGAGTTGGTGGTGAAATCACCGTTGCAAAATTTTTACAGATCTTTAAGTACACACTTTTAATTTGTTATAACCAAACAACGGTAAAGCTATGGGTGCTGTTCTTGAAATATAATGTTTAAAACATACTATATTACATTATATTTCAATTTCAGCAAAGTCTGAAGTTTTTTTAAATCGCAATCTGTAAAATACTTTTTTTCCGATAAGACTACGTGTTAAATAGATAATTTATTTCTCGAAAACGGTGAAGCTAGGGTGTCTGAAGCCTTAATATATCATTTTACATATCATTGTTAGCTTCGACAAACTTTTTCAAGGCATTCCTAAATTTTTGGATTTTGTGACACTACCCCTTTAAATGAGAATGTATTTATGAAAATTTTTAAAGCTTATTTTCAAAACAGATACTATACAAGTTATTACTTTCATCCTTTAAATTCTTTGTACCTACATTTAAAAGTATTTGTACTTATATCACATTTTCCTTAATAATCGAAACATGAAATATATTGGATCACTCATAATGTAACATCTTTGGCATTTTTCGAAGAATGTTATAGATTCTACTCTTGCAGAAATTAAAGTTGTTTTTACATAGTATTGCTACATTTATGAGTCGTCACATGTTAAATTAAGTTTTTACTCAAAATTCTCAGAGAAAACATAAAGTACTCAGTTAAAAAATCATGTATTATACTATTAGACAGCATAACAATAAAAGAAGAACGCATTGAATTTAAAGCAAAATGACATGAAAATCTAATATACTATTACATTTAATAAATGATTCATAAATTTTTTTATGAAAGTTGCGAAATATTCTGCAAACAAATTATTTCAAATATGTAAGAACGATTTTGCTATTATGTGTCATATTAATTTGTCACGAGTCAGGCCTCAATATGTCACAGCAAAAAGAAAAACCAATAGTAGGATCAATAACTTTGTAATAATTTATTGATGCACTATATGAAACTAGATGTTATTGTGAAGATATGCTTAGTAAGTCAGGAAATATAACAACAACACCTTATTTCTTTATTTCTTTTTATCAACACGTATAACATAATACAAATTTCAGTTTTTACAATGAATATAATAAGTTTTTTAACTCTACAAATGTTTTATACATGTTTTGCTACCAAAGACAACATTTTTATTGTTGACTATTTTAGTTTCAAGAAAGCATCACATGTTGTTGGATTCTCGTGTAATGATGCCGAAGGTTTAGCTTGTGAACAATAATTCTACACTTGAAAATACTTTAAAAATACGCTTTTTTAAAACTTTTGTTGTTTAGGAGATAATGATCTTATGAAAAATTTTAGTACTGCTGCAATTTATTCGTCTTTAACTAAACTAACCGCTAATTTCACAATAGATACATTTTTATTTACAAAATACCAAGTATTAGGAGTATTTATAGATTTGCGGTGTTATGACGAAGAAATTAACAAACAATTTCTAATCAAGGTTTGACATTACAATTTTAATATGTTCAAAGATTCTTATACTTATGATCTCAATGACAGGAACTTATAAACACATAATGATTTAAAACTAATATCATTCCTATTAAAAACCGTAGTAATCAATTTTTAACTTTCAGGCATCGAAATTTCGTTTTTATGGTGAACAGTATTACTGGTTACTACTCGGAAAAAACTTGAATGAAAGCGTTAATGCATTGAATGATGACGAGTACAGTATATCAACGGATCTTGTTGTGGCAGTTGTAAATGAGACGGATGTCGTAATGTACGATATTTACAATCATTGCAAATACAGAGGTGGATCGATGAATATTACCCTATTGGGTAGTTGGAACATCAAAAGAAAATTGAATATTACTCTCACTCAAAGTAAGTTTAGTAGGAGATCCAATTTCCATGGCATGAATCTTCGTATGGCAGGACTTGTAAGTTAATGTAAATTGTAAAATTATACGAGAATTATAATTTCACAACCATAAAATGTATATTCTAACGAAGAACTAGTCGTTCTATTTAACAAATTAGAAGATGAGATGAACGAAAGAGGGACTATCGGGACTCTAAAGCGTAGATTATTCTTCTTCTATCAGATGAACATACAAATATTTAAAGGATTTGTTCTACTTGAGTCTCATAGCAGTTTAGGACTCAAATTTCGAATTTTTATACTTTGAAGCCTGAAATAAAATACTTTTCTTTATTATCATATTAGGAATCGCAAGAATACTATTTGTTGAATTCACTCATTTTCTATAAAAGTAATAAATACTTTCACTTATTTCAAGAAATTTGGGTCTCTAAATATTATACTGCCTAAAAAATACATTATTCAGTTCAATTTTATAAATCTTTATTAATTACACACCATAACAATTTAAATATTTTTTAGTCCCGAAATATCTTGACAATCTAAACTTAGATTAAGATTTTTCAATTTAAGAACATCTCTAAGCCTCAAAATAACAACATGAGCCCAAATCTGGTATGTTACACGCATACCTAGTTTTTAAACACCAATAAATGGACTAAAATCAGCTTTTGAAGATCCATATGTTTTTTTTTTATTTTTAAGTTCATACTGTACAGTTGCATAAAAGATAGATATATAGTTTGCTTCTCAAGTAGCAACTTGTTTACTTGCATTTTGTGGTTGTTTCTTCTGTGACCAGTTAATACAAAAAATCGGTTATATACAGCAAAACGTTTTAACCAAAAAAATTTTATGTTTCTTAAAGAGACATCCTGTAAACAAAACGAACATAATAAGCTTTTGAATGATTAAAGCTAAAAAAAAAAACAAAAAAAATTTTCCTTTCCCTCTTTTCTCATAAAAGCTCCGTAAAATTACGTTAACGGAAGGATCTTTTTGCAATAAAGATGCTATACTGCTATACAAGGAAGAAAGAGAAAAAAAGAGTAGCTCATAAGTGAAACAATCAAATAGTCAGAAAATCTGCATGTTAGATTAATTTAAATTAGAAAATACAAACAGTTTATTAAAATAAAAACATACAATATCATTTTAATTTTATAAGTCAAATTTCGTTGTAAGTTTTTTCTCCATCATAAAAACCTTTCCACAATAACTCGATGGTTTACAAATGCACCTTTTTTAGATAGGTTTTTAGGATTTATAATTTTTCAAGACATTCAAACGTTTACTAGTAGTGAGGAAAAACAAATTATTATCATCTTGTAACTTTAATTCCATGACTATAATGTATTAAACTGTAACAAATCATATTATGGATAAAATGTCTGATAAACCATAATTTTCGTGTAAAAAAGAAATAAGAGTAACTTTTTGTTTTTACACATAATATTTATTACAGGTGCTGAACCGGCCAAAAGATGTGCCACTAGAAGTTTATTTACAAGATTATGCGTCAAAACAAGATGACAGCATGGCTAAATTCACATACACACTTTGGCTGCATATAGCTGACTTATACAATTTCACGTATGTACGGTAACTAAGTTGTTTGATAATAGAGGGTAGAAACAATAAAAGTTTTATACTAAATTTTTTTGAAGCAAAGACTGTAATTTCATGAGCTACATTTCTACTCTTACTTTGTTTAAGGTTGTTTTTTAATAGTGCGATTTATATTTAATACAGTTTAATTTAATTTCATTGAAGTGGTCAAAAGTTTTCAATAATAATAGTTTTTTTTGTCTTTCGATAACCAATTACGTTAGTAATTTTAGTAATTAATCAACTGTTGCTACTTAACGTATTTAATTTAAATTAAAAAGAAAATAGAAACAAGTCAATTACGTAACTTGTAAACAAAATAGTAGTTTTTGTCCCAAGATGTGAGCGTCGTTTTTCTTTCTGAGGGTGCAAAGTTATTTAAATGTGCAAAGCGAGATCCGAGGTCACAAAAACTTCGTGCTCATGGTAGAAATATAATAATCATCCCCTGGGCTACTTGGCGGCCTGAGAGAACTGCGAAGCACTTGAAATATTTCTTTAAAAACATAAGTAAACTCAAATATGTATTTATTGCACTACTTACTCAGTCTATTGGTGTCATGTATTACATAAGAGCTCAATTCTTATTGCTTAGATGGCATTGCAGCAACTTCTCGCCAGTCATGATTGCAAACCCATCACGTAATAATCACAAAGCAACAGTTAGGGTGCTAGAGCAAAAATACAAAAAAAAGTAGTCTTTGATAAAACTGAGCTTGAAATTTGTAGAAAAATACGTACAATAATATTCTAAAGTATATGATCAAAGCGAGGTGTAAATGATTTCTTATTATCAAGTCACGCGAGAGCGCAACGAGGTAAGTTTGAGAAAGCAGACGAAGCCTCGGCGACCGCGCTACTATTTACTTCAGATTTGCATATTCGAATTTTCAAATACTGAAAAATAAGTATTTTTGCCGGTATGCCTGATGTATTTTGGTTTAATTAGGTCTCTTTAATCCTCGTCCACAACTTTACCAAAAAATATAGGTCAAAAAGTCGTTAGAACAACGAAAACGAGACATGTGTAAAGTAAAAGCACCAGTACGTGAACACTTTTTCCATAAAGTCTTTGTTTTCTCATTTTTATTGAATTTCTGATTTGCATAACAACAAAACAGTCATTGCGCCAGTAAGTTTATATTTTTTCCTTTAAAAAAAAAAAAACAAAAAAGTTTTTCTAGGTCATGTGTACAATTAACAAATTAATTTTAAAGTTTTTTTACCAATGACCCAGTAGATGAACAGCGTGTTCAGGTATTGGTACCTATACGTATTTTTGACCAAGTACTTGAACATCCCATGTTAATTAAATGGGAGAGAGGTTATGTTAGCTGCCTTCTACTGATTTCTATTTTTATTATGTATTGCACGTAACCAAATCGAAAAATTTCTTTCTAATTTCATTGGTAACACATTATGAAAACTGTAACGACTGGCTTGACATACTATTATTATTGATTAACAGTGATTTCAATCGTTTTTATGTGTTCGAGTACTGGGCATAGGTAAAACCTAATGGTACCAGTACCTGAACAGTCTCACAAGCCACCTCATACAAGTTGCACGAATAAATAATTTTTTTCTCGTTGAGTATAAAGACTTATTGAAATATAAATTTTGTTTTATCTAAAGAACAATCAAAGAATATCAGAAAATTTTTTTTTTTTATCCACTTAAATTGAACATAGTTTATTCAAGCTGTTCAATCTACTGGTGCAATTTTAGGAAGTGTTCACGTACTGGTGCTTTTACCTTATCTCGAAATGGTCAAAACAAGATTTTTTCAGGCTCAGTGTCCGAGAAATGATCTTATCGTTAAGTTAGCTGCAAGCCAAATTTTTGCTGTGTATAGTTGGAATAGGCATGTTCTTAAAATCAAGCAGAGCTGCCAACAGTGTGATATTAGCTACAGGTACTTCCTAATTTCACAAATTCACAGTGGATGATAGCATGCAGTGTGTTGGGAGTTCTCAGTGGCTAAGGTGGTAGAGCGCTTGCTTCCCGCCTGAAGGGCTTGGGTTCGAGACTCCGTTCCATCACTTCCTCCCGGGTAACTAGGTGGTGTTTTTAATATGAACTAATCACTAGGATATCATATACATAGGCTACTGGTATATAGCATTTCATCGTGGCATGCAAATATGCAGTTTATACATAGAAAGACGCAAAGATGCCTCAGAAGAGGGAGGTGATGGATATGACTCTCTCTTAGTAAAATCATCCCCTAAATGATCAATAATACAAATAATGCGATACATATGACAAATCGAGGTCAAATGTATATGTGCGCACTTATAAGCATGTAAAATGTACCCAGCCATTCAAATAACGACTGACAAGATGAGGTGTTCGTAAGGTAGGACATCTACCGTGGGAAAATTTTGAAAACGAATAAAAATGTAAAACCAAGAATACTTCAATATCCTATTTATTCTAACCCTAAATTTCGTGTGCCTTAAATGCGAACACATTAATTTCAGTATCTAAATTAAAATTTGAAATAAATTAATTACTAGTAATAAATTTTATAATTTTTTAAGTGCACTTTTTTTGGCTATTTAAAACGATTTGTGTAACACAGATGTAACAGTATCAACATTATCTAATCGATTAGATGGGAAACTCTAATAATTTTCCAAAGTGCCCTCAATAACAAGCTGTAAACCTAAGCCTTATTTGATTTAGCGATTTAGATAGTAAATAATCAAATAGGAAATGATTCAGTAAAACCGATTCTTTTAGTAACTTAGGTACCATTTTTACGATTTTTGTACTTATTTTTGTGATAAATAACTTTTTACTGTGAGAAAACCTTATGTTTTTAATAACCGTAATTTAGAATATTTGGGTTTTATCATTACATGAAAAAAAAAAATTATTAAAGATAGTTGAATAAATGACCAAGTAAGGATTTTTGATTACTAAGTATTTTATCTAAAAATTTGTTGAAAGAAGTAATTAAATTTATGTAGTAAGCTTCAGGAGTGGTAGTAGTTTT